TTCTTTTTCTTGTTAAATTATCAGTATTTCATTACCTGTTTAAAATTTTTTTTTAATGTTTATTTTTGAGAGAGAGACAGAGAGACAGAGCTTGAGTAGGGAAGGGCCAGAGAGAGACTGAGACACAGAATCTGAAGCAGGCTCCAGGCTCCAAGCTGTCAGCACAGAGCCTGACATGGGGCTCAAACTCACGAACTGTGAGATCATGAACTGAGCTGAAGTCGGACACTTAACCGACTGAGCCACCCAGGCACCACTTTCATCACCTGTTTAGATGAAGCAAATGGACACCCGCATTTCCTTACTTTACTTCAATAGCTCACTTAACCAAGAGCGATCTTCCTAACACACGTGATAAATACTCTGTAGCAGAGACGCACACAGAGATGCGTGGATTACCCTGCAGGTGAGTCCCCAAGACCAACAGTAACCCAAAAGTGACATGAAAAAAACATGGCTTGATTAATAAATCCCACATGGGAAAAAGAGTCTGAAAGTAAGATCAACACAGCACAATGAGTGACATATCTAGGAAAAGTCTCAGATTACATAAAATACAGCCTTTAGAGTAAGACTGGTAGCTAAAACAGTGCCAAACCACATGAAGAGCTCATTAATTCATTCATCCTTTTGTTTTCGGAACTCCTAAGTTTAGCTCTGGGTCCTATCCTTAAAAGAAAAAGATACTGAAACTCCTTCAGGAAGCAGTATTTAGATAAAACATTTTCATATAAAAAAAAGCCAAAGAACCAAAGAGCCAAGGAAGATACAATACATGAGAAGATTCCATTTGTAATAAAAACAAAAAAAGGATAAAATACTTAGTAATGAACCTAAAGAGAAATGTGCTGGAACTTTATTTTAAAAATTTAAAAAAGCGTTAATGTGCTACCAAGGAACACATGGAATAACATTAGCTAACACTTTCAAGTGCTGTATATACCAGGCACTACTCTAAGTGTTTTACATGTCTTAACTACATTCTTCAACATGACCTAATTAAGTAGGTGTTATTAATGTTATCTACTAAACAAATATAGATTACCATATATTTGAAAAAGATGACTCAATATCAGGAAGCTGTCAATTCTCCCTTCACCAGTTATAATAAAAACCACCACCAAGAAAAAGACCACTTATGGAATGGGAGAAGATATTTGCAAATGACATATCCAATAAAGGGTTAGTATCCAAAATACATAAAGAACTTATACAACTCAACACCCAAGAAAACAAATAATCCAATTAAACGTGGGCAGAAGATATGAATAGACATTTCTACAAAGAAGACAAACAGATGGCCAAAAGACACATGAAATGATGCTCAATATCACTTATCATCAGGGAAATGCAAATCAAAAACCACAATATCACCCTACACCTGTCAGAATGGCTAAAATCAACAACACAAGAAACAAGTGCTGGTGAGGATGTATAAAAAAAGGAACCTCTTGCACTGTTGGTGGGAATGCAAGCTAGAAAGACAACATGGAGGTTCCTCAAAAAATTTAAAATAGAACTACCATATGATCCAGTAACCATACTACTGGGTATTTACCCAAAGAATATGAAAATACTAATTCAAAAGGAATATGCATCCCTTTGTTTATTGTAGCATTATTTACAACAGCCAAGTTATGGAAGCAGCCCAAGTGCCTATCAATAGATGTATATAAAGATGTGGTATAAATATACAACGGAATATTATTCAGCCATAAAAAAGAATGAAATATTGCCATATGTAACAACATGAATGAATCTAGAGAGCACAATGCTAAGTGAAATAAGTCAGAGAAAGGCAAATACCATACGATTTCACTCATGTGTGAAATGTAGGAAACAAAACAAATGAATAAAGGGGGAAAAAGAGACAAACCAAAAGCCAGACTCTTAACTAGAGAGAACAAATAGATGGTTACCAGAGGGGAGGTAAGTGGGAGGTAAGTGAAAAGGGTGAAGGAGATTAAGTGCATACTTACCATGGTGAGCACTGAATAATATACAGAATTGTTGAATCACTACATTATACACCCGAAACTAATATAACACTATATGTTAACCATACTGGAATTAAAATGCAAACAAAACAAAACACCACCAAGAATTTCTGGTCTGGAAAAGATAGTATAGACATTTTCTTCTGTTCCTCCCAACTAAGTATAACCAACTCCAGAAATAACAAAAGAGCCTAAGGAAAACCAAAGTACTCTGAAAGGTAGAAAGAAACAGAGAGCTGGCGAGGGTCCCCAGGACCAGAGGAATGACATAATGACCAGTAGCTCACTACACCCACAGAAAGGCAACTCAGAGCCACTGTTTCCCAACCTCCACGCTAGCAACCGAAGGTAGACCAGATAGACTCATTTCCTACCCCAGACAAATTTGGATCTCAGCAACACTGGACAAACAAGGCAGCACTGGCAAAGAAGTGCTTTGAGAGCCCCACTGACAATAAGTGATGAGAAGTGTTCACCTTCCCTGAAGAGCTTGAATATCCTTTCCTCCACACCAAGATATACTAGGTGGCCAAGGGCTATTGGCAAAGGGACATTCTGCCACGCCTGAGACTCTCCTCCCTCATCTAAAAACAACGTGTGCCCAGGCAGGACCAGCAAAGATCCTCCTACAGCAAGCAAACTTGCCCCACAAGCCAAGACAACCTTCCCCTACCTAGCCAAACCAGGGGCCCAGACTGAGGAAGCTCCTCTGTCCTCTCAAACAGCACCTGCAGAGAGACCAATGGCATAAGATAAACTAAGCAGATCAAAATAGCACCACAAAGGCTCTAAAATTAAATTGTCATTAGAACCACCGTCCACAAAGTACACCAGGACCTGCACACTAAACCCAAACTGACTGCCTGCCAAAATAAAAAAATTACACAGGACCAAGTGTCTCCTAACGTAATAACCTAAATGTGCAGGACACAATAGAAAATCACTTTGTCATACCCAAAACTGGGAAAATTATAAGTATAATGTGAAAACATAACTGACTGACACCAACACTAAAATGAATCAGATGTTGAAACTATCTAAAATCTTACAGAAGCCATTACAAAAATGCTTCATCAAGCAACTACAAATCTTATGGCAACAACCCAAAAACTGAAAATCTCAGCAAAGAAACTGAAGAACCAAACAAATTATAGAACTGAAAAATGCAATGAAAGAAATTTAAAAGCTTGCTAGATGGGATCAATAGTAAGAGTGGAGATGACCGAGGACAGAACCAGAGAACCTGAGGCTAGATCAACAGAATTCACCTAGTCTGAACAACATAGAGGGAAATAACCAAAAAACAAATGAATAGAACCTCACGGACCTGTCGGACAGAAACAAAAGATCCACCACTTATGAGATCTCACAAGGATACTGGGGTTGAAAGAAATAATGATTGAAGCTTCTCAAATTTGGTAAAAGACATAAACTTACAGATTCAAGAAGCTGAGAAAATTTCAAACAGAGTAAATCCAATGACATCTATACCAAACTTCTGAAAACTGAAAGCAAAGATAAAATCTCGAGAGCAGCTAGAAAGAAATGACAGATTACCTGTAGAGGCACACCATCAAAATGACAGTGCTTTTCTCCTCTGAAATCATGAAGGCCAGAGGAAGTGGTACAATATTTTTTATGTGCTGAAGAAAAGAACGCTTTGCTATGAATTCTACATCCAGTGAAACTACCCTTCTGAAATAGAGGGGGAAAAGACATTCTCAGATGGAGAACTACAGGAATTTGTCACTAGCAGACCTCCCTTGAAAAATGGCTGAAGAAAGTTCTTAAACAGTAAGGAAATTATAAAAGGAGAAATCTGGGACCATCAGGAAAAAAAGAAAAAACAAACAACAGAAAAAAAGATACATACAACAAACCAGCCTTCTTATGAGTTTTTAAAATCATATTCAATGATTGAAAAAAATTATAACATTAATATTCAAGCCAAAAATATTTAAATGTAGGAAAGATAAAGGGACCTAAATGGAAAAAAGGTTTCCATATATCACCCAAAATGGTAAAATGTTGGCACTAGTAGGCTACTATATTACAATGAGCAACCACTACAAAAACTATACAAAAAGATACTCTCAAAAACACTGAAAACATATTAAGATAGAGGGAAGAAAATGAAAACAGAAGAAAAACAGAAAAAAATAGAAAAACTAAAGCCAGAGTAAACAAACAACAAAATCAGGGCACCTGGGTGGTATAGTCAGTTGAATGTCTGACTCTTGATTTTGGCCCAGGCCGTGATCCCAGGGTTGTGGGATCCAGCCCTATATAGAGGCTCCACACTCACTGTGGAGCCTGCTTGAAATTCTCTCTCTCCCTCTGCCCCTCTCCCCGACTCGCATGCTCTCTCTCTCTCTCAAGAAAAAAAATAAAATATCAGACTTAAGCAATTACATATCAGTAAGTACCTTAAATGTAAATGGCATAATGTACCAATCAAAATACAGACAAATACAGAGAGGACAGAAACACATAAAACTATTATATATGCTATTTACAAGAAATTCCTTTCATATTTAACGACCCAAGTAAGCTGCAAATAATGGAGAAATATATACCATGCAACTCATCTTTTAAAAAAAGCAAGAATGGTTATATTAATATGTCATAAAATAAACTTCGGAGCAAAGAAGAGGATCAGGGCCAAAGAAGGACTTAACTGAACTCTAAGACCTAAAACTTCATGTGCTGCCTTGACATCTTTGAGCCTCACAGGGTCTCAAAGACTTAGTTGTGAGCAGGCCGGCCAGCCATGTTCCTGCCCTACAAGAAAGGCTCCCCACCCTGTTAGTTCTTTTTCAGTTGGAACACCTGCACCCTACCTACTCCTCAACCTAATACATTTCACTTCACCTCTCTACCAGCCCACAAATTTATTCAAAGACATTAATTACATCATCTCAAGGGAAGCAATCGTCATCCTATGCTATGTAGGTGCAAAGCCTGCCTCCCAAAGCCCCTTGGTTGTTCAATCCCTGTGTGGCATGCAGTGTTCTCTTCCCTCAGGCTGTGAGCATATGTGACTGATAAACTGTTGTCAATCACATCTGTCCACTGTCAGGTGCTGTGTGTTTGGCCTTCTCCATAACCCTACAGCGGGAATCTCTCCCTCACCAATGGGGTAAATAGGAGGTGACCATAATACATAGCAATAAAAGGATCAATCTACCAGAAAGACATAATAATCCTAAATGTGTGTGCATCAAACAGATCCTCAAATATAAAAGGCAAAAACTGATAGAGCTGCAAGAGATAGGTAAGTCCAGAATTATACTTGGAAACTTCAACATCCTCCTCTCAGCAACTGATAAAACTAGTCAGAAAATCACCAAAGATGGAGTACCTGGGTGGCTCAGTCAGTTAAGTGTCTGACTTTGGCTCAGGTCATGATCTTGTGATTTGAGACTTCGAGCCCCACATTGGGCTCTCTGCTGTCAGCGCAGAGCCCACTTCAGATCCTCTGTCTTCCTCTCTCTCCGGTCTTCCCACACTCACTCTCTCCCCCTCTCTCTCTCAAAAATAAACCTTTTTTAAAAAATCACCAAAGATATAGAAAACTTAATACAACCAACCTAACAGAATCTGACATACATAGAACACTATACCCAACAATTTTTAAAGTACCCACAGAACATCTACCAACACAGGGCACAGTCTGGGTAATAAAGTGAATCTAAACAAATGTAAAAGATTTGAAATCGTAAGGGGATGTTCTTATAACGTAATTAAATTGAAAATCAGTAACAGAAAGAAGAAAATTTCTAAACATTTTGTAGTTAAATAACACACTAAATAATGCACGAGTCAAAGAGAAGTCTCAAAGGAAATTCATGAAAATGAAAATACAACATAAGAAAATTTGGGCGAAACAACTAAGCAATGCTGAGAGAGTAATTTACAGCACTAAATGCTCACAGCAGAAATGAGAAAAGGTCTTACACCAATAATCTAAGAAGACTGAAAAGTAAAAAATAACCTAACATAAGCAAAGAACAGAAATAATAAAGATATGAGCAGAAACCAACACAATTAAAAACTGGAACACAGATATGAAACCAAAAGCTGATTATTTGAAAAAAAAATCAACAAAATTAATAAACCTTACTGACAAAGAAAAAGGAGGACACAAATCACCAGTATCAAGAATGAAATGGGGGGCATGTGGGTGGCTCAGTCAGTCAGCTAAACATCCAACTGGCAATTTCGGCTCAGGTCATGATCTCACAGTTTGTGAGTTCAAGCCCCATGTCAGGCTCCACACTGGCAATACAGAGCCTGCTTGGGATTCTCTGTCTCCCTCTCTCACTGCCCCTCCCCTGCTCGTGCTCTCTTGCTCTCTCAAAATAAATAAACAAACTTAAAACAAACAAACAAAAAAAAAAAACAGAACAAAATGGGATTATCACAACAGATTCTGCAGCTATTGAATGGTTATTAGATGAACACTAGGATTACTACCCACTCATAATACCCAAGCTAGATTCTTGGAGAAGGCACTTAATGAAACTTCCACTTCCTCAAAGCCTTTGAAATTCCTTGAAAACCAGATAGCAAAATTCGGACAAGATGGAATAAACTAAATTATTTAAAGTATCCTATAACTATTAATGAAATAAAATTTGTCATTATAACTGCCAAGAAAGAAATCTCCAGGCCCTGACCTTTTCACTAGAGATTATACCAAATATTTAAAAAATTACATTCTAATTCTATACAATCTCTCCCAGGAAACAGAAAATTGGGAATACTTTGCAACTCATTTTATGAAGCCAGTATTATTCCAATACCCAAACTAAATGAAGATGGTACCAAAAAAAAAAAAAAAAAAAAAAAAAAAAAAAAAAAAAAAAAAAAAAAAAAAAAAAACCCAAAAACAAAAAACCAACAACACTATAGACCAGTATTCCATAAACTTAGATGCAAAATCCCTTCACAAAATACTATCAAATAAAGTTCAAAAACATATACAAAGAAT